TGTAGCTGAAGAGCGTATTGGTATTCGGCTACCCTTGCTGAACAAGCCAGATTTCGGTAATAGGAGCATCCAGTGTGTTTGCGCGGGAGCCAGTGAAGCCACTAACCGACTGCCACCACCGCCGCCTCCTCCTCGTTCCTCCGCTACATCCCTCACTCTCTTACCAGGAACTTATCAGCGTGTCAGCCAGCGAGACATAACATTTGATCGCCCAGTATCCTCCGAATTCTTGCAAATCAGGCTTGAAACCCTACAGAACCCTTGCTGTGTGCAGGCAAGCCTAACGTTTTCATTGTATTTCTCTCAAATTTCCAAACGCCGGTTGCTAGTTCAAAGTTTTTAATTTCCTTCATCGCTTACATTTTGATCTTATAAGTTCAAAAATGGCCGACTACAAAATTCGATAAATTCTGACTGCTACGATAGTAAATAGTCATTTGCCTAATTGCTTTCAGATTGTTAGCATTTGAGAAATGCGTTCTGAAATTCTCATTGAGACAGCACCAAATTTCTCCACTTTGTACGTTTTTTTGTATCAAAAACTAACTGAGGCGAGGCCTTGTCTGCTTATGTGTATGTGGGTTTGGGAATTCAGATCCATATGCAAACTATGAATCTGATTGGGGCTATCATCCTCCTTTTACAAACTCAAAAGTGTGAAAGCAATCGTTGTGTGCTTCCATACGTCGCGTACTGAATGTGAAAGTTGAAGCTGCAAAGCTGCTGCTGCTCTTACAACCCCGTATCTATTTTGTGGTGGCTTGGTTCTCGATAATTTGTTTGTCCTCAGACAGAAAATCAACTTATACGTTTCTTCGTGTCTCATTTTAAACATGTGGAAACTGATGTTTCAAAACTGACATTGGGTGTGGGGGACAGAGAAGGAATATTAGGCCATGAGTACAGCCATCAATGTAGATGAACGAAGCAAGGCGGAAGTTTGAAATTTTGGTGCGTCTTGTGCCCCGTACTGTTTAGAAGGCCTGTATGTGTTGCTGTTGTTGTTTGTATGAGCAAGCACGAGCGAACACATGGTAACGCACGTGTGGCTCTGTTCATTAACTGAAGCAGCATGAAAACGCATGATCGCGCCGACTGCTGATGCACGCCATTATTTAGTATTTCTTGCAAAATCAGGCAAACTTGGAGCTCAAGCAAGACCCGTGAAATCGGATAAGGCTGTCGAGTCAAATTTGATTTGAATGAAGCAGCTTGAAGCACCAGGCACAGTTGTGCAGTTTTTACGCAAATAGTGTCTAGGTATAGTTAGTCGCCCAGAACATTCAGATTTGTGATGCCTCCCGATCCTTTGGGATCTCAACAGCGCTGCACTGCTAATCATACAAACCACTACTGTAAGCATCACTTTTTTTACAAACCGTTTCGTATTTCTAGGAGCTATATTTTTCTGCACACCTGTTCGCCGCGCAGACACAGCCCCAGCGCTCGACTTGAAACTACTTCTCAAAGAAGCTGACTGCTTCCCCTCTGTTCCCAAACATTCTTTTTCAGAGAGAATTTAATTTCTCCATCTATCAGTCAATCCGTCTGTTATATTTATGGACCCATGACAAACCCAATTCTGGAAAGTTAGCGGATGCTGGATTCGCTGGACAGTGAATTTTCTAAGTGTAGGCAGTCACGCTTGGCTTCTGCAGTTTTCTGTGACAGTGAAAAATTGGAGGAGAATGCGCCACCGTACACAGAAGTTGATTACATCATAGCCTTATGTAGCGCAAGAAACGCACCGAAAGTTTGCGATCAGCAGCTGATGTGTATTGAAAAAGGGGTAGTATTAGCCAGTATTCAAGCGGGTCGTGACACAGAGAAGTTAAGAGACTTTCTGACTACTTATTCGGTGTTACACGGTAAAATAAAACGCCAAAAACTTATATTTACAGTTCATTCCGCTAATGTCTGACTTGATTTTGGGTGAGGACGCTGTGTGATTTAAAAGCTGATTTTAGGATATCGATGATGCACATTTTTTTGCAAAGTACCCAAATGTTAACTATATAGCTCATTTAATTTCCTAATTATAATAGGACGGGCGCACAGGGAACTTTTATTTAAGGGTAAGCAAAATTGCGACTAGAAAAAGTAAAAAGAGGTGATGAAGTAAATGAAAAGAA